GGTGTTGCTGGTGGGGTGTGGTGCAGGTGTTGCTGGTGGGGTGTGGTGCAGGTGTTGCTGGTGGGGTGTGGTGCAGGTGTTACTGGTAGGGTGTGGTGCAGGTGTTGCTGGTAGGGTGTGGTGCAGGTGTTGCTGGTGGGACGTGGTGCAGTGTTTCGCTTGGTTAGTCAGGTTAAGCACCTCTGTGTCTCGCCAGTTACTAGAGTGGCGGGGAGGGCCGTCTTGCCTATGTACGTCGATAACAGGCTTCCAAGCCCTGAAAGTAAACCAATTTGCCAGTTGTTGCTGGTGTAATGGGGTCCAGGTTAGGTTAGGGTGCAGGAGTTCACTATTGTGGAAGAAGTGTCAAAATTTAGGTATATTTGATTTATATTGTATTTTATTAAATAAAGATAAAAAATTGTGAACATACGAGCCTAGTAAAATGCAGTTTTCAGTAGACACAATGGTACTTCGCCTGTCAGTGTACCACTAACATTACTAGTGTACCCCAAGTGTCCACCTAGTGTCACAAGTGTACCCCAAGTGTCCACCTAGTACCACAAGTGTACCACTACCAGCACTAGTGTGATACTGTACTTGTGTTCATGAGAGAGAGAGAGAATGTGAGTGAGTGAGAGGAATGTCAGTCAGAGGCGATAGGCTACGTGACGCCACTTCCTGCGACTGGCTGCTCGGCGCCTCATTCGAGCGTGTCACGTTGAACCATTCCTCGCTGCCTTTCGTTCACCGCAACTAATATTCAATGCTTGTTTTTTCCAGTCAATAAGACAGACAGTAGTCTAAGGTATTCGTAGGATATTCAACGCCATTGCCTGAACCCCTGAGCCTCCGTCACTTGTTTGATTAGAAAATACAAGGCGAATATTCTTCACTAGAACAATACGGCTCACACGGTGAGTGACGCTGCCCAATAGTGTACCTTTGGTGGTATGTTCTCTCACACGGTGAGTGACGCTGCCCAATAGTGTACCTTTGGTGGTATGTTCTCTCACACGGTGAGTGACGCTGCCCAATAGTGTACCTTTGGTGGTATGTTCTCTCACACGGTGAGTGACGCTGCCCAATAGTGTACCTTTGGTGGTATGTTCTCTCACAGGATGAGTGAGTTTACCCCAAAACTCCCCCCTGGAGACAAATCCCAGGCGGGACTGGAATGGATGGGCGCATTTCCTATCACCTAATGCTCCTTGTTCACCTAGCAGTAAATAGGTACCCCAAGAGGTAGTCAGCTTGTTGTGGGGGATGCACAGAGCGGGGTCAGTAATTCCACTCTTGGGGTACCTTGGGTTGGGGTAGTGGGGAGGGATAACCTCGATATAAGCCTAACATGTTCTGTATGTCTGTCCCCTGACACAATGAATTATATTTACAAGATAGATTTTGATTCACACATACTTAATTGTTACTAGCAGTTTATAAAACATAACGATATATGGGCATATAATTGCTGTATCTGATCAACCTGACAGCTGGCGGGTAACCTGCACTGCGGGCAATAAGGTCATGCTCATGGCAATCTTCCTTAATATATCTTTATCTTAATTGTTTTTTACACCAGAATTTTTTACTAGTAAGCAACACAATCACAGGGATACACACAAAGAGGCTTTTCCCCGTGTCTCGGTGCACACACACACACGATATGATTATTTTGGTTCTGAACTAATAAGTTGACAGGCCTTGAGCCCAACACCAAAGAGGTACTTGTATTACGATGTATTAATTATGCATGTAAAGTACATCAAATAGAATGCTGTCCTACAAGGAACTGGGAGTTAGGTGAGTGTTGTGGGTTTCATCCTGGAAAAGGTCAGTCGTTAGCATAAGGAGGGAGGGCCTCGATATTCCTAATAGGCCTCCTGGCCTCCTGTATCCAATAATGGTAAACTATTTTGGACGGAACACGTTCCCTCCAGAGGGGCATGGTAGCCTACACGCTAAATATAACCACCAATACACGCTTAGAACATATTTTTCCACACTCATTTTTTATATTTTTTTTCTGTAAAATGTGCTTATATTCCTGGTAAGGATACTTAGGCTTTAAACCCATTAGCAAAAAAATAAACAACGTCTTCAAGTTACCAGTTACAGGAAATTCTACTGGGGCGAACACTTCTTGGGAAGCAGGGAGGGATGCGCTTCTAAGTAGTAAGTATAAATGATGGCAGTTATATATTTCAGGAATATGCACTGTTAGGCTCGTGGGTTCTCTAAGGTCACATAAATTTTAAGACTGATATTGAGTGTTGTACAGTGATTCCTGGAGAACATAAGCGGTGTGTGGCGCGTCCATGGTCAGTCATCACCACAACCTCCGCCTCTGCTGCCCCTCCAACCATCACCTTGCACCGTTGCCACCGCCGCCTCTGCTACCCCTCCAACCATCACCTTGCAGCGTTGCCACCGCCGCCTCTGCTACGCCTCCAACCATCACCTTGCAGCGTTGCCACTGCCACAACCGCCGCCTCAGCTACCCCTCCAACCGTCACCTTGCAGCGTTGCCACCGCCGCCTCTGCTACCCCTCCAACCATCACCTTGCAGCGTTGCCACCGCCGCCTCTGCTACCCCTCCAACCATCACCTTGCAGCGTTGCCACCACCACAACCGCCGCCTCTGCTCCTCTAACCGTCACCAGGCAACGTTGCCGCCACCACAACAGCGCCTACTAACCAGGCCTAAGCGTCTGATGACTTGAATAGTAACCTGAGGAACATTAAACTAGTGGCGACGGCCCCTGGCGAGGGGTGGACGGTTGTCTGAAGGAGCACACCGGCGAGCTGGAGGATGATATCATCCATGAGTGATTCACCCTGGCCCCGAGGGACCTCCCTCCCGCTTAAGTGGGAGGGAGAGGGGGATGGATGAGGGGGTGGCTGGGTGGGAGGGAGGGTAAAGTGAATGCGTGGAAAGGAAGAAGCAGAGAAAAGGATGGCTGGCAGGATGGGAGGGAGAGTGGAAGAGGTGGGGTAGGGAGGAATGGAGTGAATGTCAGTGGAAAAAGTAGGATTTGTATTTGGAGGAGGAAGAGGGAGTTAAGTGGGATGGGAAATTGAGGAGTAAAAGAGAGGAGCAGATGGGAAGGGAAGAAGAGATGGGTTATGTGATAAACAAAGCTGGGTGGGGCCCAGTATACAGGAAGAATTAAATTAACTTAAAATCCATAAAAAAATGCAGAACATTGAATAAAGATATAAATGAGAGAAATAAAAGACCAAAAAAATATTTATATATAAATAATTTCAGCAGAGGTGGTACTTCTATATATGTATGTTGTACCTATATATGTATGTTGTACATATATATGTATATATGCATGTTGTATATATATATGTATATACTGGTATGTATGTTGTAACTATATATGTATATATACAGGTTTCTATATCTCAGCCTAGTATGTAGGTCCCGATTTAGATTGGAATTTATGAAAATAACGAAAATCACTTTGCCTGTTAGGCAAATTGGGCCTTGCATATTAGGCCAAGTAGTGCGTTCTGGCTATTAGGTACGACATATATATATCATATGATATACATATAATTTTCCAAGAGCAGTTGGTGGGTATTGACAGCTGCTGTCTAGCCACGCCCTGATATAACGGCCTGTATGACATGGACACTTGAAGGTTTCAGTAGCCAGTATAATGTGTAATGTTTCTCTCTCTATCTCGCCGCTGGTGTGACAGCTCAGTGGTCTCGAAAGATACTTAGATCTGTTAGCTTGTGAGTCACAGCTGTGCCGCATTTCCCACGTGGTGGCCGCTGGCTGTGGTGCATTGTGGGAGCCACACCTTGCTCCCTCTCACCCCCCCCCGTCCTCTCTCTCCTCTCTCTCTTTCTGTCTCTGTCTCTCTCTGTCTCTCTCTGTCTGTCTGTCTGTCTGTCTGTCTGTCTGTCTGTCTGTCTGTCTGTCTGTCTGTCTGTCTGTCTGTCTGTCTGTCTCTCTCTCTCTCTCTCTCTCTCTCTCTCTCTCTCTCTCTCTCTCTCTCTCTCTCTCTCTCTCTCTCTCTCTCTCTCTCTCTCTCTCTCTCTCTCTCTCTCTCCCTCTTCCTCTTCCTCTCTCTCTCTCTCTCTCTTCTCTCTCTCTCTCTCTCTCTCTCTCTCTCTCTCTCTCTCTCTCTCTCTCTCTCTCTCTCTCTCTCTCTCTCTTTCTCTCTCTCTTTCGCTCTCTCTCTCTCTCTCTCTCTCTCTCTCTCTCTTCTCTTTCTCTTTCTCTTTCTCTCTTCTCTCTCTCTCTCTCTCTCTCTCTCTCTCTCTCTCTCTCTCTCTCTTGTCACCGTGATGCTTGTATACTCTACTTGTAGATTTATTCTTTGTTCGGTGGTATACTGAAAAGTACAGTGTACTCTATATAAAAGTGAATATATGTTCTCATAGAACAAATCATTGAATCATATTGATTTATATATAAATCGTAGAAGTTAATTCTTTTGTTTCTTAGCCTCTTTCATTCACATATTTAAATTTATCATTATTTCAACTTAAAGGATAATTCAAATGCAAGTAAATATATTATGAATTTAAATTAAAAATAAGCCCGCAACATCCTGACGGTCGATAGCCGTTACTAAGACATCTGCAACGTAGTGCTTTTCAGAATATATTTTGTATAATAACGAATTGTGTGTTTTGATGTATATATAAGAAGATGCATTACACTGGAGGCTGATAATACAAATAAAATAAGGAAATAAACAATACAGCATCAAAGACAGCAATTATAGTCTATGCTAATATCCGGTCTGTGAGTTGGACTCCGCCAACGTATTTAGCTTCTTTGTTTTGTCATACTTTTCAATAATGCGGTTAAGTTAATTTATATTTGTAATGAAAACAATCGTTAAATAATCGCTAAACAATTGTTATGAAATTAAAATAGCAAGTAACAATCAATAAGGAAGTAGAAATTGCTAACAATTTCCCCGGCGCCGGCATGTTCGCGCCACTTTTGAACCAATGACAACTGGCGCCATTGTTGCCCGGCCAATCAGGGAAGGCGTGGCTGGTGACGTCAAGGTTGGTATAAAACCCCACGACCGGGTCGCATCTTAAACAGTTGAAGAATCGCGAGGGCATCGTCCACAGTTCCTTGTGATCTCGGCACCAACTTGTTTCCTAAATCCTTAACACTACAACACAATGGTGAGTGTATTGTATTTTGTGAGTGTGTGGGAGGGTTGATTTGGGATTATTTGTGCCATTTTTGGCGTGGGATGGTAGGAAACATGGAGTGTTGGAGGTGTGGCCGGCCGGCGCGGTCAGGGTGTGGCCGCACAAAGCATTTCCCCGCCATGTATCTTAAAGTTACTCATGATCCCTAAATATTGGGTTTTAACTTGTGCGACATTTCCCTGACCGAGCAACTAGTTGGGCACCAGTCCTTTCCCCCTGAGCACAATTAGCTCAACTCATAATCCTTTGAAAGCGCTACATAGTCGTAATGGCTTGGCGCTTTCTCCTGATAGTGTTTCCTTTAAATTTAAGATTTGTTACGGAGGATTTAAGGGTGTTTAGGCGGGCAATGCTAGCAGGAACCTGGCCTGTGGCCACGAGGTGGCATTAAAGTGTTAAAAGTAAAAATTAAAGTATTAAAGTAAAAGTTAATTGTGCTTCTGTAGCGGTATGAGTGTAGCCTGATGTGTCGCAGCTCTGTAACCTCGGCCTGTCTCTTGCATGAACTGAAACTAATTTACTTATAAAAGTAATATAACTGGAGTAAAGTAAGAGTATACAAGTTGGGAGGCGTCATCCCGGGGCAGGTGAGCGACATTGGTGATGCGTCTCTTGTATTGATCTTTGGGGCCGGGTGCAGGTTACTGGGGTGTGGCTGTGGTCACCTAGTGGTGTGCTGGCGGGGGTTGAACTCTGGCTCTTGAGGCCTGCCTCTCGACTGTCGGGTCACTTTCTATTGCTTGGTGGTGCACTCTCCAGTAGTTGGCTTCTGATTAGAATGTAACTTTCTCGCCTACATATAATTGCAGGAAGCTGATATAAAGTTGGCTGTAAATTGAGATGTCTACAGGTCATGATGACTTTTAGTTTAGAAAATTTTTGGGGAGAAATGGAACAAATTCTAGGTAAATTCTATTGAATTTTAACTTTCCCAAGACTATCCAAAATATTACTTTATAATATCTTGGCTATAAGACATTGATTAAACTATCCCAAGTGTAACCTTGGTTTAAATTACAAGGGGCTAAGTTATGAACATTTGGGGTTTTTAAAGTATTTAATCAATTTTAGGAATTGTTATATTGCTTGATATTGAATAGTGCTAAAGGATTCTGAAGTAGTGATAGTCTCCAGAGGTTAAACACTGGCTTAAATAACATTATAACATGGCAACTGCTATTTTTTATAAAATGCATACTCTATCAATTTCTCTGGTACAGGTCACTTTTGTATGGTTAACCAAAAGTTTAAATCTACCCAAGGCAAAGGCTAGCTTGACTATTTTTTAAAATTCTTATAAATATCTACCCTTAGTCTTTTACTTTCAAATGATATTTTCAAATGTCTCCATTGCACAGTGGTAAATCACTTGCCTGGCGCTTCATGAGCACTTTGGCCTGGGTTTATCCTGGCTGGGGAGGATTGACTGGGTGCCAATCCTTAACTATAGCCTCTGTTCCCCAGTAGTGAATGGGTACCATGTTAAAGGAATTGGCAAGTCGTATTCTGGGGAAAATTAGGATTGAGGACAAGAGTCCTCAATCAAAAACTTTGTAAAAGTGATAGCCTTAAATAATCTGGCAGAAAATTCTGCTATACTGTATATATCGGGGCATGAAATATACTGCACACATGGCGATAGTTATCATGGCTGCAAATGTTAAAAATCCCATATTCTCTGGAAATTGGAGCAAACTACTTTTGCTTAACTAAATATATGTAAGAAGCACTTATAGCTGCAGAGGTGACTGGGCAGTAACAAATTGTTTGATGCAATACACCTACTGTATTGGTCTAAAAAAAAAATTCTAGAAACCATGAATTAATTTAAATTGCTTTTTTCCAGCGTGAGTGCATCTCTGTCCATGTTGGCCAGGCCGGTGCCCAGATGGGCAATGCCTGTTGGGAGCTGTACTGCCTGGAACATGGCATCCAGCCTGATGGCCAGATGCCCTCTGACAAGACCATTGGGGGTGGTGATGACTCCTTTAATACATTCTTCAGTGAAACTGGTGCAGGCAAACACGTTCCCAGGGCTGTGTTTGTTGATCTCGAACCTACAGTAATTGGTGAGTGAATTGCATTTTCTTTTTGGAACATTTTATCATTGTGCCTACAGATGCTAATTTAGCCTAAATTGTGGTAAATCTTTGCATTAAAGTAGCATTGGTAGAATAACTTTGGGTTTTGTAAATATTGGATATTAGCTCGCCCCAGGCATCTTTAAATATGCACCACCTGATTTTGCATATAGAATACAAATTCTAGCATTTTTCAGTAACTGCAAATCCATCCCCCTCCTCAACCCTGTCCCTTTTCCTTCAACTTCCAATGGCCTTCAAACTCTACTCAAAGGCTCCACCCTGCTTGCCGTTACCATTAAAATTTAATTTATGAACTTTTACCTAATAATGTTGAATAATCTTTGATTAAGATAAATGAAGGAGAATATACCCACATAGGCAGCATGACAGCCTGATATTAGTCTACACTAGGCATGAATTTCCAATAGCCACCCTTTATTAGGTTGGAAGGGAAGTGGCAAAAAGTGGCATCTATTTTAAGATGTATAGAAAAAAATCTAGGGCACTTAATGCCACTAGCATAAGAGGAAATTGAAAGCAAATATTTTTACAGTAGGTGTAAATGAAGTGATTGGTAATTATTGGTCGTTGGATTTGAGGAAAACTAAAAAAAAAAATGCTGAAATTTCATAATAGGTTATGAAACATTTCTTAAATTTGTAAGAACAGTACTTAAATGTGCCACTGTAAGGAGATTGTTGGTGTAATTGTCATATAATTTGAAAGATTGTTTTATTAGTTGGCTGTAGGATTTGAGTGCTAGGAACGCAAATAGTTTAGTAAGAGGTGTACCGAAAGAATTTGTGGTAGAGTATTCTGTATTTGTAGCTTACTAGGGGAAGGTGATAGAGAAATGGGAATGTTAAGTGTTAAAGGAATGAAATTTTACACCTTTGTCCATATGTCGAAGATTGAATTCGTGTGAAAAGTATAAAGGGCTAATGAAAGTGTGGCATGATTTAAGGGGATGGATAAAATACACTTGCACAAAGAGGAAATCTTAGAAAAGAACCAATGGTAACCAAACCTGACACTAGAAATTGGAGACTACATTTTTATCCATCCTGGACCATTTGATGATGCTTCCAACCCTACTAGTACTGTGCTCTACCTTGGTTTCTTATCTGAACTCAACTCTTGATACCCTTTGTCCTCTTGACAATAAAGCTTGCCTTTCGTCAGAGGGACTAGTCTGCTGGCATACATCTGAATCTTCTCTTAACTTTGTCTTGTTTTGAACTAGATATGGACTCTAGGCTGGAGCTGAATATTCCTAGATTGGACTGACATTAGTGGTATAAAAGGTCCTGAACGATTTCTTGCACAAGGTTTCTAAAGGCAGTTCTTGTGTAACACTTCATACTAATCTTGTTCACACTTCTAATGCTGGTGGTGTTCTTTTCCTGTTTGTCTTGTCCTTTCCAATACTTTGAGGAAACTTTGCTGTGCACTTAATGACACTAGAAGTGTTGCCTTTACTCTAAGTCTTGTCGAATCGGCTCTAATACACAACCTACCCAACATGAACCTAAATCCTGGCTTTGTAGCTGTTGTTTTCCCTTTCACAGTACATACTCCCGATTTTGTAAACTTTCTAACAAACGTAACCTAACATAAGGCTACCTTTATTTCTTTCATTACCATTTACTCCTTTTATTACCCCCTTCATACCCTTAGCCCTATCTTTTGCCTCGCTTTTACCTTCCTCCAGGATTTCCTTGCCTCTTGCCTTATACCCATGCCTTTCTAGTATCTTCACATTCGACTTGATAATGGTCCAGGATGGACCGAAACGTCTTTTCAATTTCTAGTGTGGATTGGTAAACGTTCTTCGGCCATGTTATTGTGACTCGTCTGCATAACCGATGGTAGTCAAATATTTAACTTTATATCACATGGAACAATATATAAAGTTTTTGGCTATTGCTTCCCAGCCTCCTGGAGACACAGGTTTGGAGCAGTCTGATATAAATTATTTACTGGCAGCCAATCTGCTTGAAAGTATGCTATTGTTACAAAGTTGATTTTAATTTTGCCAAAATGCAAGTGACTGTAGATGAAATGGTAAAGCCATTTTTGGATTACAATGACTAATCCAAAATACAGCCATTGGATTATGGCTGTAATTTAAATGGTAAATGTTTTAGGCTTAGCTTTCAGTTAGATGTGCCTTAAAATTGCCTCCAGTCTTATGAGCGAGGTTATGAAAATGCAAGGAATCTGTTTGCTGGAACCTTTGATAATACTTGTGTAGGCTAAAATTGTGTTAATTTTTTTCTTGAAAAGTAGTCTTACATTTATTATTTTGCAGATGAAATCAGAACGGGAGTCTATCGTCAGTTGTTCCACCCTGAGCAGCTAATTACTGGCAAGGAAGATGCTGCAAATAATTATGCCCGTGGCCACTACACAATTGGAAAGGAAATTGTTGATATTGTACTTGACCGCATCCGCAAACTAGCTGATAACTGCACAGGTCTTCAGGGCTTCCTAATTTTCCATTCATTTGGTGGTGGCACTGGTTCAGGCTTCACTTCTCTCCTGATGGAAAGGCTTTCTGTTGACTATGGTAAGAAGAGCAAGTTAGAATTTGCAATTTACCCAGCTCCCCAGGTAGCTACTGCTGTTGTTGAACCTTACAATTCCATCTTGACGACCCATACTACTCTAGAACACTCAGACTGTGCCTTCATGGTTGACAATGAAGCCATATATGATATCTGCCGCAGAAATCTTGA